AAATCAACAATGGAAATAGAACGAAACAACTTTTTCTCAGAAATTATAACCTAACTTCAACCGAGCGTCAACGCTGTCAAACGTCAAGTCCGAAGTGTGTGTTTACGCTTTATTATAATAGTATAGACTACATAATTCTTTTCTTAATAAAAAGACCTACATTTTCAAGCTTTAGGTTATATATTTTCACGCCATTAAACCTAGGGGTAAATATTTTGGATAAAAATCTGGGAAAGAGACCATAAGTTACCAACTTCAAGGAATCTAGGTTGCCATGGTTTAATATCATGTCATGTCATTTTGACATTTGCAATTGATAATTTGATAAATGTGAACAATAAAATGATTTTTTTATAATTTCATGCGGATGAAAGCTTGGCATCAGCTATTAATAAATATAATAAAATGTAAACACACCTTGTATAATATCCTTCTTTACATTCCAGTCGCTGGTGTCCCTGTTCGCTCGCATCACGAAGCTGGGATGGTTCGACATGGTCAAAGAGGAGTACGTCTTCAGGAACGTCATGCACGATGTCTCCAGCTTTCTGCAGGTATACTTTCATATTCTTAGAGCTCCCTTTAGTGCCCTCCTCTCTCAGAGCCCCTTCTTCTAGAGATTCTTCTAGAATGCCCTCTCTTACAGCCCCTTCTAGTGTCCACTCCTTTAGAGTCCCCTTTCCTAGAGAGCCCTTTAGTGCCCCCCCTCTCTCTTAAAATCCCCTTCTCCTAGGGCCTCCTAGAGCCCCCTCTGGAGTCCCTTCTCTTAGTACCCCTCCACTAGAGTCCTTTTAGTTCCTCCCCCCTAGGGCATCAAAATATGTAAAATAGCTAAATCTTGTTATATTGTAAGTGTAATATTTAAGATTTGTGTCATTTCGCGGTAATAGTAAATTCAGCAGCTAATGTTGACACAGGGCAGGGTAGAGGACAGATTTCCCTATACGTCCATTCCCCTGCTAAGTGTTTGTCCCCTTTCCATATTTATTAATGCACCTTAAGCTGTTAACTAAACAGTATCTAGAGTAATGATCCGAGTGATCAAAGTGTGCGTGATTCACACTTGGCCAGTACAGTAGGACAGTAGCGATTATCACTGGACTGTCATCTGACTGGCATAATGTAAACAGTAACTGCAGTGATTTCATATGACCCATGCTTTACCTGTGCTACTGTCCAATTGAAATCAAGTTTGAGTCGTGATTCCAGTATACTGTACCACTGGACTGGTGTTTTCCAGGGTCCAGCGGAGATGTGCACCATCGGCGTGCAGCTACTGTGCCAGCTGGTGTCGGAGATGAACCAGGTGACTGATGATGGCAGCCGCTCCCTCACCAAGCATAGGAAGATAGCATCCTCATTCAGGTCGGTAATTTGATATCTATACTATTATAATAAAGCGTAAACACACACTCATTTGTTACCTAAGATGTCAGCAATTACAGCATATTTTTGAATAATTCTTACTTTAATAAAAAGCCCTACACTTACGTTACGCTTTAGGCTATATATTTTCACGCCATTAAACTTAGGAGTAAATATTTTGGATAAAAACCCTAATGTGGGAAAGAGACCATAAGTTGCCAACATCAAGGAAGCAAGATTGCCAAGTTTTGTAATGTCATGTCATTTTGACATTTGCAATTGATAATTTGACAGATGTGAACAATAAAATGAAATATTTATAATTGTATGCGGATGAAGTCGCATGGAAACAGCTAGTATACATATAATAAAATTAGCTGCTGCTCGTATATTCGTCCGCGTGAAATTAAAAAATAAAAAACAGTATAGCCTATAGTATAGTATAGCCAACTCTCGCTGCTAACTTTTCGCCCGCCATTTTGTCTTCGTATTTCTTTGTTATAAAGAGCGTCGGTGGCTCAGTGGTTTGAACTTGACATGTAATCTACAGGTCTTGGGTTCGAATCCCGCCGTACCAATGTGATTTTCGATTTTTCGAATTTTCATATGTACATAATTTACCCGACGTTCTTACGGTGAAGGAAAACATCGTGATGCAACCTGCACATATCGCAAAAGAAATTTAAAGTTATGTGTGAAGTCAACCAACCCGCACTTGGCCAGCGTGGTTGACTATGGCCTAGTCACCCTTAGGGTAGGCTCCGAGCCCCTCGGTGGGGACGTATAGTGAGCTGGTGATGATGATGATATATCAATACAGGGACACGAGGTACTAAACTTGAGAACTGATATAGTACCTTTCAGAGAAAGTACCCGTGAAAAAAGTACACTATGCCTCGTCTATATGTTTTTTAAAGTTATACACACACTTTAAAAAAAGGATTTAAATATCATAATTAATTCTTAGAACAAAAGAAAGTATGTATGAAGGAATGAAAGAGACAGAGAGGACAGCTGTTTTTTTTTTGTTTTTATAACATAAGGTGGCAAACGAGCAAGCGGCCATCTGAAACTGCCAAAATGGCGAAGCGACCGCTGCTCAAAGACATCCGCAAAAACAGATGCGTTGCATACCCTTATACGACGGAAGAGGAGTCGCACATAAAGAGGATATTCCCCCTTCCTATGCATCTCCTCCACCGTCAAATCCACTTCCTCTTCACAACCTCTCCTTAGAAGAAAAGGGTGAAAAGGGAAAAGGACTAAAAATAGGCCTCCGGCACCACACTCATCAGACGAAACACGGAATTGCTACCATTTCACGCCTGTCTTCTGTGTGGTCGTGGTATTACTGGGGGCGTGCCGGCCCTGCAGTACTAAGATGTTAAAGCGGGCACTACCACTTAGCTATAGTTTTCATGTACGAGACATGCTTTGCATGTGTTAGAGGAGGATAGCTATAGTTTTCATGTACGTCGCATCTTACGTTTTTTGTATGTAGAAATAAAGTGCATTGTGGTTATCTAAAAGTAACAGTGCAGTTGTGTACAGAGACAACCAGCTGTTCGAGATCTTCCGCGTGTCGTGCTCGCTGCTGGGCGCGCCGCTGCTGGGCGAGGCGCAGCAGCAGCTGCTGGCGGCGCTGCTGCGGCTGGCGCACGCCTGCCTCACCTTCGACTTCATAGGAACCACCAGCGATGACTCCGCTGATGACCTCTGTACTGTACAGGTATGACGTTTTTTTTTAATGTGACATTTGAATTTGTGCATGGATATAGGGATGAAATTGTTGCCCGTGTCTATGTGTCTATCCGCGTGGTATTAGAAATATACGAATTATATAAATAACAGAAAGCTACGTATCCCTCGGGAACCGGACATTTCTCGGGGATGAACCTCATCTCATGTGTACTCCAGACTTTATTTTATATCTGTGCCAAATTTCAATAAGATATGTTGAACCGTTGCAGAATGATCAAGTAAACATTAAAAAAACTAAATTAATGAATCCCACAGGAACCGTAACTATTCCCGGGATAAAAAGTAGCCTATGAGTTCTTCTAGACTATGCTCTAAACCTGTGCCAAATTTCATGGAGATCCGTTCAGCTGTTCAGGCTACAAACGCTAACAAACATCCACCCATCGTAACTTTCGCTTGTGATAGATAGTGTGGAAGAACCACAGACCTATTTTTTTAATTCCACGCGGATAAAGTCGCGGGAGAAAGCTAATCAAGATATATTTCTGATCCAGATCCCTACATCATGGAGGCCGACGTTCCTAGAGCCGTCTACCCTGGGTCTGTTCTTCGAGCTGTATCACTCCCTGGCCGGCTCACTGGCGGGGCTGGCGCTGGCCTGTCTTGTACAACTGGCTTCGGTGCGGCGAAGTCTCTTCAGTAATAATGAACGGGCAAAGTTCCTCAATAGATTAGCAGCTGGAGTACTGAGGATATTGGATAATACTCAGGTATGTTTGATATTAGGCCCAACTTTAGTCCCTTTCCCTTCCCACCATTTTTCTTATAAGAGGATGGGAAGGGAACGTGGATTTGACGGTGGAGGAGACGTATAGAAAGGGGGCCATATCCTCTATGTGCATTTCCTCTTACATCGATTAAGGTTAGGTAACGCATCCGCTTTTGTAAATGTCTATGGGCAGAGGTCGCTTCGCCAGTTTGGCGAATTCAGGTGTCCGCATGCTCATTTCCCGCCTTATGATATAAAAAAATAAATGTCAATCATCATAAAAATATTGACATGTGGATGTCGAAAAATATTACAACTAGCTGTTGCTTGCGACTTTGCCTGCGTGAAATAAAAAAAAAAAAACACACAGCCTATGTGAAACCGTAGCTTTTTAATGTTGAAGGAATTTTTGAGATATTTCAATACAATACAGTATAACCTCGATAAGTTAAAGTCCAAGGGAAACATACAATGTTTTAAGTTATAGAGGTTTTAAGTTCTATGTTGTAGAGGTTTTGGGCTCTGATGGGAAGGGAACATATTATTTTTCGAAGTTAGAGGTTTATAAGTTACCGAGGTTTGAGTTATCGAGGTTCTTCGTATTATGATTTTTGAGTTATTTCATTACAATCTTACGAAGTTTTCCTATTTATAATATTAATATGAAGTATGATGAATTGTCATAGTTGACAGTTCTATATAGTTTTTGAATCTCTGGTTATAGAGTATTTTTAATTATATTAAAGTATAGAGTGTTAAGAACAAAATTAGTACAGTGCTGTAGAATTGGCACAACTCTAGATTATCGACATAAACGTCACGTCCCTAGCTGACAGCTGACAGCTGTCAATGTCACTAGAAGTATGTATTTTGGCGCGCAACC